AAAGTCTGTGATCTTCTCTATCCCAGAGAGGAACAGAGAGAGCAGCCCCTAGAATTCTAAGGAGGGCAAATCAGGAGGGGCTTCCTGGAGAAAGAAGCTTCCTGTGAGCGGGACCATAAAGAAGAAACAAAGGGCCTCCAAACACTTGGACCACCCCTGGCCTGTGGGTCACGTAAAGGATTCATTTGTTCATTCACTAGCTAATCCACACGCCCGTGAGCCAGCACTGGCACCCTGTGCAACGTGGACCAAGTCAGGGACCCTCCTGGACCACTGTTCTCTCATCTGTAAGATGCAGGAAGTGGGACAAGCAGAGGCCCATCATGTCAGCTATGAAGCCTGAAAAAGCGAGGGACTTGGTCCAGCCCCACCCTCACTGACCTCCCTGCTTCTCCTCCATACCTCACAGTCACCCCTCCCCCAGCCCGGCTTTGTGAACTGCTCAGGACTTCCAAATCGCCACCTGGTCCCCCCTCCGCCGAACATTCACGCATGCCCTTTCTTCCCCAACATACCAGGCGAAATCCTGCTCACCTTTAGCACTCAGGCCTCTTGCAAGAAACCTTTCCTAAACCCCCAGCCTCCACCAGGGGATGGGCTAAGCTCTCTCATCCGTGTCCCATGCCCAGCAGCTCTGTCATCCATCAAAGCCATAATCGCGGTTGCCCCTGGACCTACTAGAACCCTGGCAGGCACGGCCATGAGTGAGTCTGGCCTGGGTCTCAGCCCGAGGCTGAACACAGAAAAGGAAGGCATGTTCGAGAATATATCTGCAATCACCAGGGATTCCTTTAAGTAAAGAGGTTGCTTTACTTTTTTTTTTTATTTAAAAAGTGGCAAACTTGAGCAACCACATAAATAAAATAGCATTGGATTATAACCCGAAGTATAAAATAAATATCCATGAGTCCCTGCTGATAAAAATATAAATCGGCCATTTATTTCTATAATAAATGAGGAGAGCAGACGACCCTCCTGTGAAGAATACGAACTACTTTATGTAGCTACTCCTCCCGCAAGGAGGGGAAGCGTGCACGGTGACCATCTCCCGCAGAGGACTGGATGCGGTGGGGGTGGGGGCGGGGGCAGTGCCTTCACGGTGGAGAAGCCAGGCGATCAAGGCCAGCAGCAGCAGCAGCAGCAATACAATGCACGGAAAATGGCACTTGACCTCTGTAGTCTCCCTCCCCCAAAACATTAGACTCAAATCCAGCCATGCAAAAACCATCAGACAAGTCCTTTTGAGGAGTGTTTGACACGAAGCATCACCTGTGCCCCTCAACACTGTCAAGGTCACCGAAAGCAAGAAAATCTGAGCAACTGTCTCAGCCGAGAGGAACCCAAGGGCTGAAGGTTCCTTCAGAGTCGGGTGGGGCCCTGAAACAGAAAAAGGGCAGCAAGGGGAGCTGAGGAAGCCTGGACGCAGGGCGGGCCTCGTGAGTAACAGCATGTGACATCGACTCAGCAGCTGACAAGCGTGCCTTATTAATGTGAGGCGTTAGCAACGCGGGAAACCCAGTGTGGGGTATGCAGGAACTCGGCGCTCGGTGCAACATTGTTCTGTAAATTCAGAACCATTCCAAAATTAAAAGTTTATTTTAAAAAGTAGTCGTGGTCATGGTGCCAGATGTGGAGAACAGAGAAAAGGAGAAAACAGTTAGAGCTTACCACCCGATGACCCAGGGACAACCAGGGCCGGCGCCCCGTCCTGCCCTCCTCACCCCCCCACCCCCGCTCTGCTGCTCCGCGGGGAAATCACCGCAGGTGTAAGCCTTTCACCAGACGATGCCCTTCTAGTGCCATCCAAGGCGCCTCGGAGAGGAGAGGCCAGGGAGGAAGATATTTCTGGACAAGGGGGTCTCCCAGGGGTCCCCACATCCTGCCATAGACTTAAGGACATGCTTCAGGTTGCCAGACAAGGCAGCACCAATGTGGCCACTTTAAGAAAGTTCTCTGACTCCCCTACCCATGCAAGTTTGGGTCGGGAACCATCTGTGACCCAGGGAGTCCTCTACCCAAACCCAGAAAAATCCGGAGGAAGGCCCTCCAGCCACCGACACTGGAGGGTCCCCCAGCAATCACGCTCCTGAAGATTCTACAACGTCTGAGCTGTCCCAAGACACCAAGGGCCCGATTTAACCCTCCCCAGAGGGACCAAGTCCACAAATAGCTCTCGATGTGCAGGGCTGTCATCCTTGACAGGCTGCAGATGAAGAGCGACCCAGTGATCAGCACATCTGGAGGGTGGCTCACTCTTTTTCCATCCAGATGTTCGGGGCCCTGACAGTCCACCTGCCACCCGACTTCTGGGCCACAGGAAAGCCCCCAGCCCCTGCCCTTTCTGGGAAGGAGCAGAGGCCTGTCATAGAGGGGACAGGGGGACGGGCCCCCACAGGAATCAACAGAGGAGCCCGACCCCGACAGGGCCGCCTGAGCCAGCTGCAGGGCTCCCAGGCTCCTCCCCTCCTCCCCTGCCTTCTCCTCTAGGGCTCCTGCGGCTCCCATCCCTCACGTGAGAGAGCACTTCTCAGCTGGGAGCGATTTTGCCCCCAGGGGGCATCAGGCAGTGTCTGGAAATATTCTGTTATCACAAGAGGAGGGAGCTACCGGCACCTTGTGGAGAGTGGGCACGGATGCTGCTGAACATCTTACAACGCGCAGTTCGGTCCCCACAACAAAGAATCCTCAGCGGTGGAGGTCCGGGCTCTTTCACTTGTCACTCCAAGCCCCTCCCTCCTCGTGCTCCCCACCCGAAGTCTCCAGGTTGGTCTGTGTAGTGTCCCCTGCACCAGACGATGCCCTTCGTCCAGCGGCACCAGCGGCAGCTTGTGCCGCTGTCCTTCAGCCTCCACAGCTCTGCATACCCACTTCGCCCCCATCCATACTCCCCACAGCCCAACTCGATGCCTCTGCTAATGACACCACCTCCAAGAAGTCTTCCCTGATCACTTGCCCACAGATTCTCCAGCTCTGTGAGCAGGCACCATTGTCACTTGATGTCATGTCACTGATGTCATGTACAGGTGAGGACCTGAGATGGTGTGATAGAGAGGAAACCTTGAAAGTCACAGAGTCTGCAGTTTGCAGGGCAGCCTGCAAGTAGGCTTGGCTCAGCCGGCACAGGGATTTGTTTTTACCTTGAGTCAGCCACCAACATGGAAACATCGGAGCCTGTGTTCCCTGCTTCTCTAAACACCTGAAGAGCCACCACCAGGGCCCACGTTCCTTCATGGCAACAATCAGCGGGAAGAGAGAGCGGCCTCCAGAGTGGACCCGGCATGGACTCCCGGGGCCGCCACGGGTCCGGCTGCCCACCACCCGCACTCACAGGACCTGTCTGGGCCCTGGAGGCCCTGGAGTCTGAGACGTCCAGGTCAGTCCACACCCCCCACACACCCTCCATTTTGTAAAGGGAAACTGAGGCCCAAGAGAGAAGCTTGTCCAAGGTCACACAGCCAGTTAGTGGTGGCACACGCATGAAGGTGCAGGGGCCTGCTTCCCACGGGGCCACTTCTGCCCACCACACTGGCCTTCCAAGAACATTGCATAATCGCAGAGCTGGAAGGGGCCCTAAGGATGCGGTGTGGGGACAGCCAAGGTGCCACTGGCTTCTCTCAGAATCTCTCCTGCATTGGCACAAGCTAGGCAGGGCACCTCTGAGCCCCTCCCAAAACCGGCGTTCTGGGGTCTGGCAGCTGGACTCCGCGTGTGCTGGCAGCAAGCTCCGTGTCTGATGCACTGCTGACAAGAAGGCACTGGGCCGTGTCAGACACTGTGTAGATGTCAACGCCCTTGATCCCCTCAACCAGCCTATCAGAGGTGCCCTTGGTGCCCCTTTATAATAGAGGAGGAAACTGAGGTTTGAAGAGGTTAAGCAGGTAGCCCAAGGCTGCTGAGCTAGTAACAGTGAGGCCAGGATTCGCACACGGGGTCTGGATCGAGGCTGTGTGCACCGAATAGCAACGCCCCTCTGAAGGCTGAGCTCTCGCCACAGCCCCACCTGCCCAGCCTGCAACGGGGAGCAGATGCAGCCAGGTCTAGGCACTTACAGCGGCCCACCACGGTGTGCAGGTTCGGGCTCTCTTTGAGGAAGCCCTTCCAGGCTCATGAGAGAAGTTTTAGCCACAGCCCATGAGTCACCCTGAGAGGAAGGCGCTGGGCCTGGGGGAGCTGGGTATGGCTTGGAGCTGTGGGGTGGGGCCCGGGGGCCTGGAAGGACGGCACAGAGACCCCAACCCGACCTTCAGCCACTAAGACGGAGTGACCTCTGGCCCTGGGGGAGGAGGGGCTGTGACTCACCCAGAGTCAAGGCTGCACACTGGGGGGTACCCGCCAGCCTCCAAAGTGGAGCCACTGGGCCTGCTCCCCTCGGGCTGCCCCACAAGAGACTGGGCCAGGCAAGCCCCCCTGTTCATTAGCACAAAGCCTCGAGTTTTCCCGGTGGGGAGAAGGCAGTGGGTCGCCCAAACTGCGAGCTAAGAGGACTCCCTCCTCCCTCCCATTGGAAGCACGAAGGGAGATTCCCACTTGTGAGCCCGGGCCCACGGTGGGGAAGAGCTGGAGCTGTGCCTGCGGCCTGGCCCCTGTCCTGGCAGCGCCCTGGCAGCGCCCGTGTCTCCCAAGATTCCTGGCTCCCAAAGCACTTTCCCACCTGGGGTTCCGTTTGTACTGGTTGACCTTGTAGTGGCTACTTTGTCCCATTTTACAGAGGCAGAAAGTAAGCTTCCGAGAGAATGCGAGCTATGTTCTCTTGCAACAAGAACCCCCTACTTCCACCTCTGCTCCACTATGGGGGCTGCTACCGGGTCCCCTCCCCCGAGTCAGCAGAGCAGGAGGCTGAGACCCACCAAGCAGGATCCCACAGAAGGGTGGCGGCAGTGGCGTCTAGTTGGAGGGGCCTCAGTAGATCAGGGGCCTCTCACACACACACACACACACACACACACACACACACACACACACACACACACACAGTCTCCCTGGGCCTGCCCCGCACTCACCACATGGTAGATAGCCAGGGCGGTGGTGGCGATGCGGACATTGAAGCAGCAGCAAGTCTGGCGGATGGCCGTACTGGGGGCCATGGTGCTGCTGTCCCTCCTCTGAGGCACTGAAGGGGAAGAAGCTCAGCTCCTGGAGCAGGAGAGAAAAGGGGAAGCTGCCCTCCTCACTTCCTTCCTGCCCCTCAGACAGGCAGGGGCAAGGCCATCACAAGTGGGGCGGGGCCGCCGGGATGGGCCACAGCCTGCCTGGGAGCACCACAGCTGGCCCTCTGCCACTGCCGGAGGGGCTTCCCGGGGAGGGCAGACCCGTGCACCGTCCGTGCCTGTGTCCCGTGCGCCCGGGCTGGGGGTTAAGCAGTTTCTGGATGCTCGCCACCACCCTCGGAAATGGGGATTGTTACCAAACCCATTTCCAGACAGAGAAACAGAGGTCCAGAGAGATCAAGGTGTTCCCCCAAAATCACGCAGTAGTTAGTGCTGGTAGCAGAAGTCACACTCAGGTCTGGCAGGCTGCAAAAATAACTATTTTCTACTAATTCCTACCTGTTCTAAGCACACTCCTGGACCAAACCCTTTAATCCTTCCCTCAGCCCTTTGAGGGAGATACTATTATTATCCCTGTTTTTCAAATAAAGAACCTGGGGCACAGAGATGTGGAGTGATTTTTCCAAAGTCACACAGCTAGCCTGCGGAGAATGGAGATTTGGACCAGGCCTGGCTGGTACTAGAGTCTACCCTGCAGAGCCGATGTCCCCTTCACTCTCCCCCTAACCTCAGAGAGAACTGTGTTCTTCCTGAGCTCTGCCCAAACCAGAACAGAAGAATAAATTACTAAGCAAATCTATCAACTGTGTGTCGGGCCCTGAGCTAGGCTCTTCCTACAGCTGGGTCATTGATGCCTCCCAGCAGTTTGGGGAACCCTCAGCAAAACTGCACTTTGTGGGCCTCAAGTCCTCCAATGCTCACATGCAATCGAGGATTTTTTTCACCTCACTCTTGGGAAAGATTGGAATTAATAAACCATGACTATTAGGCAAGCAACACTGGGATCTGTACTCCCTGTCAGATGATAAATTATCCATATTGTAATAGGGGAAGGAAATATGAGGCCCTTGCAAAATTCCTGTAGGAAGTCTGCTCTATCCAGATGTTGAGTCCACTTGCAAAAAGTAAAGCTTCTAGTGGAGAACACCACAGTGAAATCCCGCCCACATATGAGATCATAAGAGTTGGGATTGGCCACTGTGGCCGCCCATCATTTTTGCCCCCCCCCCCCCGCCGCGCCACAGAAGTTATAAAAGGTCTTTAAGCTCCTCCTCCTTGACAGGAGTTGCTCTATTGGACCCACAAAACTTGTCCGGTGGACTTGATCAAAATTTTCTCTGTTTGCAGTGAGACCAAGAGGCTCTTCCAGCACAGGGCTCCTGTGATCCAGCCAACCCTTCCCTGCTTCATTCTCAAACCTGCTTATTTTTCATCATAGGCACTGCTAAGAGCAGACATTGTAGAAAGGTGGCACAGTATAATGGTTAAGCACTTGAGCTCCAAGGCTCACAGCCTAGGTTCAAATCCTGGCATCTTCTGGCTTGGTAGCCAACACAGCAAGACAATTGCTACTTCGCCCAAAAGCACCAGGACCAAATGGACTGGAGATAAGGAGAGAGGGGCCAGTAGGGCCCCGAGGCCGTGCTGAGGAGTCTGGATTTAACTGTGGTAGGGAGACATGTGAAAATGTAACACCATAATAAATGATAGCCATTGATAATGTAACGATTTGGTGAAACGGGAGCAGGTTTGGAGCCAACTGCCAAATCAAAGACCAAAGCCCACTGCTGGTGTATGAGAACCGCTTTATGTGGTTTGCAGATGAACACTTCATTTTTATGATGACAGATTCATTTTAATGTGCATTATAAAAATACACATAACCTCAATTGCTCATAAATTCTGGTGATTTCCCATTTATGCGAGTAATATAAGGTCTCATTTTAAAACAGATACATTTTAGTTAAGAAAAAGCATATTTTGATTTAAAGAAAAATATCAAGGCAGCTGCAGGCCGGGAGGCAGGCCGATGTGGCAAAGGGCCACGGATGGGCCACACCGGCTGAGGAATCCTGGCGGGTGCGACGTCCCCCAGCAGCTGTGTGATCTTAGACAAGATGCTTGATCTCTCTGAGCTGTTGTTTCCGCCCCAGCAGAACAGAGGCAGAAGAAATGAGGTCACGTGCAAACTCAACTTGTTAGTTTCCTCCCTTTCTGACACCACCCCTCCCCACATCCCCACCCCCAACCACCCACAAGCTGCTGGCAGGAGGCAAAGTTGGGATGTAAACCCAATCTGTCTGATGCTGAGTCCTGGGTCACGCCCTCAGGAGGGGCCAGTGACCACGGGGACAGCCTCTACCTGAGCAAGTGGCGTCTCCCAGGCACTGTCTGCCCCCAAGGAGCACAGTTCTGGTAGATCGCGTGTTCCTCACCGTGTCACCAGCCTCCAGAACAGCTTGTCTCTTGATGGTGACCTCAGTCACTTTCTCCGGGCGGAAGCCCAACCTCCTTATTTTCATCCCCTCTAAACCTCCTGAGAAAGGGGTGTTATCCCGAATGTCGGTCCCCTGGTCAAGACCACAGTGATGGGCAGAACAGGGAAGCCCCAACGTTACCTACATCCTAGTCCCCGGAACCTGTGACTTACGCTGCCTTACCTAGCACGGGGCTTTGTAGGTGTGAGTCACTAAAGGAACTCGAGATGGGGAGATCTGGCATTATCCGGAGGGTGGCCAGGGTAGTCAGAGCATTCCCACGAGTGTAAGAGGGAGGCGGGAATATCAGAGTCAAGGCCGGACGAGGCTAACCTACCGCCTCTGAAGGTGGAGAAAGGGCCCAAAAGTCAAGGGAGACAGGCGGCCTCTAGAAGCAGGAAAAGGGAACATCTGTTTGATGTTCCCGTCAGAAAGCATCGCACACAGCCCTGTGGGCACCTCCATGTGAGCCCAGTGAATCCCCTCTGGGCTTCTGACCTGCCCGGCTTCAGCTAATGCGTCTGCATTGTTTTCAGCCACTGACTCTGGGGCTCATTTGTTACAGCAGCAACAGGAATCTCATCCATCTCCTCGGCAGCGCTCACAGTGGAACCGGGGTCTCTCTGACACCAGAGCCCACACACACCCTGCAGCAGCCACAGTCCCCATACTCAGGAGGGCAGCCCTTGACCTCCTCATGTGTGACCCCGGGCACACTGGGGACTTCTCTGAGCCTCCACTTCCACGTGCACAGGGTGGGAATAATGCCATCTCCTGGTCTGTGAGGATGCAGCTGAAAAAAACGCTGCTTGTGGTCAGCAACACCGTGTGAGCCCCTTAGTCCTCCCTGCCCTTCCCCATTCCAAGTGACACCTTTCGAGCTCCTCCAGACCCCCTTTTAAACTTTCTTTCTTAACTGATGGACCCTGGAAAACTTCAGCTCATCCGGACTCCTCAAGATAAGGAGAAGGAGGTATCACTCGTCCACATTTCCACAGTCACAGCCAGAGGGAGGCGAAATCGCCCGTGAAACTGCCTTCCTCGATGTCACTTCCGACACAGGAGCCTTTCAGGGCCTGCTGACTTCGGGGGTGATTCGTGTATCCAGAAAGTTGTCTTTAATCCCAAAGCAGCCCATAACTCTGGCTGGCTGTCTCGTTTAATAATTTACTGCCATGGTACAGTAATATGTCAGCAGACATCTGTTTCCTCCAAGGAAGTTACTTACGAGGGTTTTTTTGTTGTTGTTATTAAGCCAGAAGAACATCTCCAAGGCTTTCCTGTTCACCCGCATGTCTGAAGGTAAAAACGAAACCCACGCCTCTGCCAAGTTTCATGTTTAAACAAAGAGTGGGCGAGCCTGGTGCCCTTTCAGTGAGCGGAGGGTCTGGCTCAGAGCTGGGACTCCAGGAACAATGGCAGTTACGATCGCTGCCATGATCAGTTCTGCCCTTAGCCGAGCCCCTTCCCGGCCCACGGCTCACCTGGGCCTCCCCTGGGCGGCCCAGACAGGAAGGCAGCAAAGAGGTGTTGGTCCGTGCCTGGCAGGTCCATGGGTTGGTCCAAGGCTCTCTTCCCCCGGGGAGCTCCTAGGTGCCTTCTGTCCCTTGTCCAGGCTGAAGTTCGAGCTTCCAGGCAGACCACTGGCCTGTAATTCTCTCCTGGCTGCCCTTACCACCTCCCCACTTCCTTTGACATTTGTAGCTGTGGCCTGGAAAATAGAAGCAATCTCCCAGCACTCCCTCCCTTTATCCTGCCCCCCAGCCTCACAAGCTCACCAGGGGCTTGGACCTGAGCATGCGACCTCGGGACCCTCCCCTTTTCCCTGTCCCTCAGAGGGCCAGCCTGGCGAGAACAGCTCACAGGCCTGGGCTTGGGGACAGCAGGCCCTCCAGCTCCCGGCAGTCAGTCCCAGGGTCAGGCAGGGCCCCTGGAGCTATCTGTCCCACACTGCACCAAGGAGGCTGCCTCTCGCCAGGCTGCAGCCAGGGCCCCCAGGCAGGGGGCTGCAGAGGGGGGATGGCACCAGTCGGAAAGGGCCCTGTCAGTGGGGAAGCGAGGACTGGCCCCGCTGCTGGGAACCCACTCCCCTCCCGGCCCTGGCCTCCACCCAGCCCTTGCCACACTCTGAAGCTCCGGGCTGGGAATTGTCACACTGTGTCCTGGCCTGCTGTGTCACCTCCCGCCTTCCCACTGTTGACCCCATCCTGGGAAAGAACCTCACAGACCCAGGTCCCCAAAAAGCCGATGGCTACAGCAGCACACCTGCCATTAACACCATAGTAAGAATGACCTCATTAGGGCATTTCCCCTGGAGAGGGGATTTCTACTTAATCAAATACAAACAACAACCACAAACAACAGAAGTGATAGGCCCTGCTAAGGGCCATATCCCTGGAAGAGGTTTTAAAAAAAAGGCAAAGCGCTACTATATATTTATTATTTTGGCCTATTAAGGAACTTGTAGGAAATCTATGGTTACCCTGATTAAAAATGGGCAGACTCAATTAAGGCATGCCTTCTACTCTTTGTCCTAACTTCCCTATTCCTGCCAGGAATGCAGGCACAATGCCTGGAGCAGCAGCAGCCGTTTCGGAGGCATGAGAACAAAAGCCA